AGGGAAACAAAAATGGGACTTAGCCAATAAATGACTAAATGGTCATTATAAAATTATGAGATTTAATTTGAAGGGATAAGCAGATTGAAGAAACTAAGGGCAGATTAAGTTTGAATAAATGCATTTGTATTCTTTGAAAATAAATTGGATCAGCTGTGTCTCAAAGTTTGTAAACATGCAGGAAAATTTAAAAGTAGCAATAAGAAAACATGGTTTGATTTAGTGTATCAAACCCCCATCAGATTTGACTATCATCTCTATTTAAGTATAATTTCATTGTGATTCATATAGAGTTACAGAAGAGAAAAGTTCTTTTCGCTGCATAGAATTTGGAAACATATGCATTGCAAGATGCTGAGAAGATGGCAAAAGAAGCTAGAGAGAGAAATGCACCCTTTTGAGTTAAGAAACCAAAATGAAGCAGGGGCTGTGTTCTCATCCACAAAGACTGCTGGCCTCTTTCTCTAGCTCTGCCTTTGTAGGCTTTTCTTCTGCAGCTTCACATTCTTTTTCTTAATGTTTTTAACCCAATGTCTGTGAAATTTTTATTGTTCCCCAGATAAAGACATCTGATCTGAATGTAGCCACACACCTCTCAGTTCGGCAGTATTTGTCATAAACCATTATAAATTATCATGCTGATAGCTTGCATTGCTGGGAAGCTGAAGAAGTTTCATAAATCCTAACTACTACATCGATGGCATTCTTGTTTATTATACAGAAATAAAGTTTTATGAGACTCAAGATGTCTGCCTTTACCACTGAAGGATGCCTTGGAGCAGTGAGTTCTGACCAGTTCAACATTTCCAGTGTGCAATGGACATTTCTTTCTGAGATTTTCAGCTGCCCTATTTGTAGTGGTGCTTTGATGATTCCCAAACATGTAGGGTTTTGCCACTGCAAAAAGGATAAATTACCGTCCCCTCCATCTCCTCAACACTTTCTTCTCTCAGAACATTCTAGTGTTGTCTCTTGTATCAACACAAGAACATCCAGCTGGAAACCCTAGCCCCTTCTTAGTCCTGAAGACAGATGTTTTGCTGCTCTGTTCATTGATTGATTTACACCACACCTTGTTCAATAAAAGAATGGAAGAGATCATATTACCCTGGTTTCAATGCTTTTGTGTAATAAACCCACTTGAATGGCAGCATCAACACAGACTGCTGCATGTTTAAAAAAACAACTCAGCAAGCACCGCACACATTCACTTCCCCACCCCCACCTCGATTCTAGCCACTGTGACAACCTAACCCTTATTTTGTAAAGTAATCCCACAGTTGACTTACAAACTAGGTCAATTTTTGCACTGGTTACATGAAAAATCTCATGATTATATCCTATATTGTCAGAGTTATATGCTGGCTTTTACATAATTACAAACAAAACAATGAAATTTTCAATAGAGATTTTCCCCTGCTGAACTAGTTAGCTGGTCTAATTATGTATCCAGCCCTCTACCCTAGGAAAGAGAATTGCTTTCTTGGGTCTCAAAGACATTTCTTTACAACGAATGTTACAAGAAATTGATTTCTTGCTTGCTTTCTCATGGTGAAAGTTGATTGTACAAATAGTGGCAATTTCAAGAAAAAAATGATGGTTGGATTTATATGAGAATCAACCCATTACAGGATCAATAAATTTAGTTTGACATATGTTTACTTTCATATTTCCAAATGTTCTAACAATAACCAAATTGTTGATATCACAGTCATGATGAAAATGTATTGGTGAAAAGCTTTTAGAATGTAATGATTTCACATATGCTCACTCACTTATGCCACTAGTAACCTAACAGCAGCAGCACGACACATCATTTTACTGCCATTAGCTGTATACCATGGCCAAAGAGGGAGGAACATTTGCTACGTCAGCTATGGGGAACATGAATGCTAGTTAGTTGTTTGTTTTCTGAGGCAGAGTCGCATGCGGCTCAAGCTTGTCTCAAACTTGCTGTAGAGCTGAGGGGCACCCAGGAGCCCTGATTCTCTTGCCTCCAGGGTGCTGGGACAAACAGAGCAGACAGTACTTGCAGGAAGTGATAGGTGCTGTTCTGAACTGAGTTTCATAAGTGTCCTCAGACAACCAGAAGACAAAATAACAAAAGCTATTTTTAAAAGAATCTTTGTGTTTCACTTTCGCAGGGAATTTTGAGCACCTGCAGATGCTGCATCTGTGAATAGACCTAACTGCCACCTTCAACAGTGACCAAAAGCCACGTAGGGTCTAGAAAGACAGTGGAGGCCATGCTTAAGGTGCTTTCCTTGTAACATTTTGAAGTTTTTTATCATGAAAAAAAAAAAAAAGCTGTGGAGCCATACTTTAGAATGTGGCATAAAGGTATTTCCCATGAGCAGAATCTCCCTGCCTTCATCAGAGTGAATAATCAGCTTTCAGATGCTGGCAGCTTCTTCTAGGGCTTGACTTTATTAGGCAGCAAACAAATAAACAAACAAATAAAACCCATAAACAAGCCTCTCAATCTCACCACCATATAATGCTTATGGAAACAATCTTTTTTTTTAATTGTGTGTATAGTGTGTATCTGTGTGCACAGGTGCATTTGTGTGTGCTCCTGCCTGTGTTCCACAGTGAATGTGGTGAGGCCTGGGGACAACTTTTTGCAATAGGTTTCCTTCTCCAGCCATGTAGCTCCCAGGGATTGAATACGATCACGCAGGCTTGGCAGCAAGTGCTTTCACCTACTGAGCCATCTTGCCAGCCAGACTGGCTTTTTTTTTTTTTTCAAATGAACTTAACATTCTCAAATGAACTAAAAGTCCTCCAATCCTGTCATATCCTACCCTGTATCATGGCAAATAAAACCGTAAAGTTTCCCATATATCATTTTCAACCATCAATTTCTTGAGGCAGCTGGTGCATGCATATATTAGTGTACATACTTGTGCAAGTGTGTGTGTGTACATGTGTGTGTATAAAAGCACTGTCTATACAAAACAGTTTATCAATTGGCTTTGCTCCCAAGCTTCTGTGGCAGAGTGTGCTGGACTCAGCGTATACCAGCTCTTAGACCACTGCTGAATACTCATCCCTCTACAAGTCTAGATGGGGCAGTGTCATATGAGGAGTTGGAAACTATCCCCAGTGCAACATCAAGACAAAGAAATGAGCAAAACCATAAACCAGGACCTAATCTGCTTCCTCCCCAGAACCGGCTACTGAACGTTTGTTACCATGATGACTAGTGAATACTCAGAGATCTTTATTCTTTTACACATTTACGTGATAATAATTTCCTGGTCAGAAAGCAGTAAATTGAGCTTATTGACGTCTAAGAATTCTTTATTTTGGAAAGACCCATGTGTTGCCAGAGTTTCTTAAAAATATATCCAATACCAGTTTAAAGAAATGTAAAAATAAATACGACAGCACAGTATCCAAGTTATCTACACTATTAGCACTATAACAATGACCATAAAGAATGTTACCAAGCTGGTGTGGCTCAGGGATACAGTGTGTCTGCCTAGCATGCATGAATCCCTAGGTTTGACCCCCAAAACTTCCAAACAACAAAGTTAAAATAATTCCCTATTTTCTGGGAGGCACTGGAATGCTCTGTTAATTCTATAAAAGATTAAAGGTTAGTCCAATGCGGGACTTGGTTAAATTGGGATCGGAGTAATTTTAATATGCAGTCACACATGTCAAGTATTCACAGATGCGTCTTCCGTCTATGCAGTCCTAATTTGGTGGACATTAACATGTTGTGTAAAGTAGGCACATTGATCCCTTGACTGTGGAAAGCCGGTTGTCACCACACCACAAACCAACAGGTTGCTGAATCCTTCATATAGGAGAAAAAGTTTTCACATCAGTATGCTCTCTAAAAAGAATAAAGTATGCCAACAGAATAGCTTTGGACATTTTACGTATCTGCAACATGGTTAATTTCAAAGCACTGTCTTATTTCTTCATTGAGATTAATATTCAAGTTCAAACTGTAGACTATACCCCTTACAGTGCTTTAGGTGAGATTATATGGGCCAGATACCAAGAGGTACTTCTGGATATTGAGAGTGATGAGCTATGAAGACCTCAGGGAACCATCTCATAAAATGCACAAGCAGAAATTCCACATCTACAACCAAGATTTCCTTGTAAAGAGAGTGGGCATCATGTAGATGGTCTATATTAAAGTATTATTGTGATAATGAAACTTGACATAGACCAACGTTCAGACATAGACCACCTTCAGTAACTTCAAGTTGAAGGTAAGACAGATGAATTCAAACCCAATATATACCTAAGTTCTCACTGCATTTTTGCATTTTAAAAACCATTTTCATAAATATTTCCACTATTAACCTAAGATTTAAAACTTTTGCTTAAACTCAGAATGATGTGAAGTGCCTGTACTTGGGAGACCAAGGCAGGTGTATCTCTAAGTTCAAAGCCAGCCCAAACTACACCGTGTGTTCCAGGACATCTACGGCTACATAGTCAGAAACAAATAAACAAACACCAACACTCAAACAACAACTCTCATGTAATTCACCCTGTATACTTTATAACAACTTGTTTCCTCCATGTCAAATTCAATACAATCTTTTGGATCAGAGTGCTAGGATAGCCCCTGCCACTGAACCACGTTCCTCAGCCATGAGAAACACAAGTCTAAAATCATTAAATGAGCCACAGATTTGTTTTAAAAACACCCAACTTCACCATCTGCAGATGATGTATACTGGTGACCCACAATCTTTAAGAAAACACAAGCTTTTTCTCAAAACCCTTTCCAGAAAGAACCACACACCACACATTTGTTAACAAAAGCTTTCTCAAACCAAAAGTGTCAACAGAAAGAGGACAGGCTATCACACATTCAAATACAGGAGAACTCAACCACTTGTAATTTCATTTCCACACCACTAACATTTGAGCTCAGCTAGGTCGAGACCCAACCAGTTCTTACATCCGCCGTAGGACACTCATGACCACTAGATGGTGCTGTGGCGCCCTGTTCAAACTCCCTCACTTACTTGCAGTCTCGGTCCTCCAAATCGAAATGTGGGTTAAAGTTGATCATGATTCTCTGGTAGGGCTCCGGAGCTTGGATCAGCCATTCACACTTCTCACTTGGGTGGTAAGAATGAGGGTAACCGGGAGATGTAAGGTACCCCGGGTTTTCAATTCTTATAGTCCTGCCACATTTATCTGTAACAAAAATAACATTTTAGCAGACATTTCCCCCCAAACCGGTTGAGTTTTCCAGCATTACATACGCATCGACAATTAGCAAACATTTTGTCAGGTAAGGGAAACTCCAAAGTGTTCCCACAGGTCTGCTATATGACCCTAGACACGAAGAACATCTCATCACCAAGAAACACTATTCTCAAGGAGATGACTTCCTCAGAAAGCCTACTCGCTCAGGTCTGAGATGCTTCTCCCTCCCACCCGAAGTTCCTTCCAAAGAAAGAGGTCTTCTAGCATTAAAAACATTAAATCCTCTCAATTGATGTTAACATGGTCCCCTGGGAGCTCCTGCTAGACTTAATTATCCTCCGAGAAGTGAAGTCACATTAAGGAACTGCTCTAAGTGGAAGGTGACCAAAAGACGCTGTGCCACTCTTTGCAAGTGGCTTTTTGATGATAAGCCTGGCCAGTGTCACTGACCAGTGGGGGCTGCCTTCCAGGACTTTGATTGACCTAAAGCCCAACCTCCTTTTGTTGTTGTTTTATCTGCCTGTAAATCTAAGTGATTTTGAGTTATCTCTGCTTTTGAGACTCACATCAACAGAGAACAAAGTGCAGCTGGTGATGCAGAAGGAACTCCGCTTTACTTATCCAAGTTGCTCAGCCTTGGCGACCAGATCAAAGCAATGGGGCAGAAAGAAAAATAAATAGCCACACGGCATTAATTCTAATTACTAAATGTTAGGGGAAGCCCCAGCCACTGAGGTCTGGGTATCACAGATGGTGAGCTCCATTTTCACATCCTGGGAAAGAGACACTATCTAGTTTTCAGCCTTTACTGAAAAACAAGCCATCACCACAACAAAAACTCAAATGCTGAAGTGACTCTCAGCTGAATAAACCAGAATCTGGGCTGGTTTATAATTCAGCATAGATTGCGACTGTCACTTTTTATTATGGGTTTCATGCAGGAGAGCTCCAGCTTGCAAATGCCACACCATTTGTTGATACTTAATTTTAGGCAATAAAAATTTGGTGCATAAACTATGTAAGAAGAACAGGTAAGAAGCATTGAAATATATAAGCCTATCAATCACAAACATCCAGTAATGGTATATATAGATTTTAATATTACATCTAATAGATTCCCCGTGGAAAGAGAATGGCATTCTTTGCTCTCAGCATGAATTTATAAATCTACGGAATTTTATTACAAGAAAACCAGGTCAAATGGAAATGAAAGATGAAGTGCACATCAAAAATGCATAAAGCTACATGCATTACAGAAGTCATTTCCCATAAATTAAAAAGAAGACAATATAAATTACATTGTTTTCTCAAATTGCTAGATGTTTCTGGTTGTTTCTTAGATTAGAGGGGGTTGGTCTTACAGATCCTCTTCCCATTGGCTTTTAAAAGGTTTAGGTCTCACGAAGAACCAACGTTACAACCAACGCTCAGACTCTCAGCTAAGATGCCAGTCAGCTCAGTGGTGTGATTCTGCAGAGGCCCTGACATTATTTTATTTGTGCAGAAATCTTAAAGAGTAGCCCCCAGCTCATTAAGTCCCTTCAGCTCTGTGCAGCCACCATGGCATCTGTTAAGAGAGTGAAATAAAACAGTCACTTCGGAAGACAGTGAGGTGGGGTTGGTACCACACCAGAGCACTTTAATCTGTGACTTCTGAGAAAGAGACAGTGTAATAAGATAATGTAGACTGCTGGGCTCCCACACTCTGTTCAGTCTCTCTAACACTTGATAGGGAGAGAGCAATTCCTAGTGACGCTGGACCATTAGTCCTAAATAAGGTTAATGAATTAATTTAGTAGACACTTACTGGGAAGAGGTGGAGATGGTTCTAAGAGGACTACAGGCCTACTGAGGCATGTGTTGGCCCTGGCCACCTCAAGCATAGAAACAGGTTTAGGCTGAGGGGAGCCCAGATTCTCAGCATTCCCCACATTTCTGCTAAGGAAATTAAAAGGTTGTGTGTGTGTGTGTGTGTGTTATTCAGAACCACACAAATCTTAATGCTCTTTATATTGGCTATGATGACCAACATGGATCTAACCTAGTGTTTCTCAACATGTGGGTCGCGACCCCTTTAGAAACCCTCTGTCTCCAAAAACATTTACATTATAATTCATAACAGCAGCCAAACTACAGTTATGCCACAGCAACAAAAAAAACTATGGTTGGGGTCACTACAACATGAAAACTATTAAAGGGTGGCGCAGCAGGAGGTTGAGAGCCATGCGCTAACCTTAGGAGTTATTAAGGGTACCTGTTTTGAGGGGTAAACATCGGAATTCTTCTGGTTAGAGAAAAAGATTTTATGGAAGCGCTGCACCACCTCAGGTTCATTAACAAACTGAACTCCACATTCATGATTTTTTGAGTGTTTGGCTTCCCTGCCAGAGTATTCTCTGGATAAAGATGCCGCCAATCCGGATTCATTAATAAATTGAATTCCAGCCGTGTTCACAAAAATTTTGCATATCTGTTGAGAACACTGCTTGGTACCTGTTTGGGGAGATCTATGGCTGAAATCACAAAACCTGGGGAGAGCACATTAAGGAGATTAACTTCTATCATGAAGGAGTGATTTAAATTCTTCCTGGTAGAGCCTTCTGCTCTGCTCCTCTTATTAAAACAATATACCACAGTAAGTAGCAGACGCACTTTTTCTCCTAATTACTTTGATTGGAATCTAAGCCAGACCAAAGTAAATATTTGGCCATTAGTTAATAATAACGCTGAAGATTTACTGTTCGGATCAGCTCTTGCCTAGCTTTCCGCACCCTTACAGGGGACGTGGAACACGTTTGTACCAGATCCCATTTTAAACACACTCTGTAAGTTCCAGGGCACTGTTTATACCAGGGCTGCCTTTCATTTACTGAACAGTGAGTGGTTTTAAAGGCCAAGTGGAAGCTGCAACCGGGTTAGAAATCCTCAGATATGCTGGTGCTTTGCACTGAATAGATCCGAAGCCTTTATTGACAGTGCCACTTTCATTCATACTTCAGGCGGATCGCGGACGGTTTACAAGGGCGAAGAGAGTTCCAGTGACCGCCAAGACTAACCGCTATCTCTCGGGTGTCGCCCACCAGAGGAAACCGAGCAAGGGTGTTTCGAGGAGAACCAGGAAGCCCTCCCGGTGAAGTGTTCATTAACTCTCAGCAGCCATCAGATTTTTGAAAGGGAGTCTCATCTAATTGCCTCTGGGAGGAAACATTATTAAGATAATTGGTGTGCTGAACTGGGAAGGTAGGCAGCTCTAAGCCCACAGCCAGCAACCAAGCAAGCGGAGCAGGAGGCCTGGGGCTTGCGGTCCTCCTGCCCCAGACGCCCTGACTTCTCTGCTCCTTGCGCAGGGCAAGTTTCCTGCGCCGGGCAGCTGTGCGCGCGTCCCGCGGTTGGGGCGGGAAGCCCACCGGAGGGGACCGGGCAGGCAGCCCCGGGCACTCCCGGGCGCTCGCGCTCGGCTGTCACTTACCGCTGCGGACAGCGCCCGCGAGGGCGAGGGCGAGGGCGAGCGCGGCGCACAGCAACGGCAGCCCCCTCTCCATCCTCCTTCGCCGAGCCAGTCCCTAGGCAGCCACGGAAGAACACGGTCGCGCGGATGAAAACCCAGCAAACAGGAATCTTAGCAATCCAAAACGCTCTTAAGTCCGCCTAAGAACCATCGAATCCTCAGCGCGTCTTGGAGGGGAAGGCTAGCGGCTAGGCAATGCCTGAATCCGCGAGAAGCGCGTCTCTTTTTGTGTCTCAAGTCGCCTGCATCCTGTCATTTAGCTCCGATTTCCTCTCCCTTTTCCCACACTTGTTCCTCTTCCAGGAGCCACTGCCCGGGCCATGTCTCAGGAAGAAGAAGGAGGAAAAAAAAGAGAGAGAGAGAGAGAGAGGGGAGGAGTTGAGAGGAGGAGGGGAGAGGGCGGGCGACACACCAAAGCCAATTTCTAGAGGGAAAGAAAAAAAAAATCCCGCTTGATTCTGGACGGGTTGGAGCCGAGGAGCTGGCGCCCAGAGGAGGTCCGGGTTGTCTGCGGGAAGGAGAGAGAGCAATGAAAAGATGAGCGGGAGAGAGAGGACTTTCTCCACCAGCACCGCCTCCCCCTCCCTCCCAGATCCCTTCCTCGCTTCCTCCCACCCCCTCCCCTCACAGCTCCGCCAGTGATTGCCTGGCTGGAGACTCAGAGACACAAGTTTCCCTAGGCGTGCTTTCGCGCTCGGTCAGCTGCCCGCCCTGCGGTGCTCTCCGCGGGAAGAAGGGAGCTGAGGAGCAGGTCGTCTGCACCCAGAGCACAAGGACGCGCGTGTGTGTCATTTGGGGCAGCGAGAGTGGTACCAGCCCCAGGGGCACCTTCTGCCTTGGCGCGATCCCCTGCCCGGTAGGACTGAGCCAGGCTGCTCCAGTGGGCTAGGATCCCAGAGCCAAGCAGCTCCGAGAGCCCGGGTTAGCGGCTACTTCACGGAACTCCAGTCCCCAGGCTCCCGAGAACCCGGTAGCGAGGCTCGCGCAGCCAGACCCCGCCTCCACTTCCTGGGTGCCAGTCTGAGGTCTGGGGCGGAAGCAGCCGGGCGCTCCAGGGCGCCCCAGTAGGACTGTAAACTACCAGAAGACCGCCTGGCTGGTGTATGCCGCTGAGTCCAGAGGGCCGTGTCTGCCACGTAAAGCACAGGCAGACCTTCCTGGAGCACGGAACCTGGCTGCAGCCGAGCAAGGCCTCCTCCTCATGCATAAAGGCGCGAAGCCTTTATGGACAAGAACCCCTCCCCGCCCCCGACGCTGCAGGCAGCATTGTTCCCCGAGATTTGATGCCCTCTCCTTTGGGGTTACACGAATCCGGAGGATGGGTGGTGGCGCGCCTTTCAGCTAGGGGGCAGCCGCCAACAGACCCAGACAGCCACGTAGAAGCCCAGGTGCTCCAGGAATCTGAATCAGGGGTCGAAGGGCCCGCTTCCGTGCACCCCGAGGGAAGGACAAGACTGGAAAGGACCCCGCATGGGGGTGACAGGATGATCTTTGCAAGGGTCTCCTCGAGACAGCTTTAGATTGCAGGCGATTGTGCCTATTGGCCTTCCAGCCCGACCCCGCCATCCCCAGAGGAGTTGGGTCCTGGGCGTCTGCCAAAAGCTTCCCCGCCCCCCATCTCGTCCGGTTCCATCCTCGAGGGCTTTCCGAGAACTGCAGCAGGTGTCGTTTGGTGTATGAATAGCAAGGACAATCCAGGGACTTAAACTGGCTGGTGAAGAAGGTGAAAAGGTCATAAGCCTTCAGGGAAGTGGCATTTACAGACACACAGTCACCACAGAGACTGACGCCTACCTGGTGCAAGGTCTGGCAAAGGTTTGGGAATGTTGGCAAGGAGACTCTAGTCAAAGGTTTTGGCTGAAAAACTCGGGTCAGTCAGGGAGAAAGGACGCCCCATACCCTGGTGGCCCACGCTAGGACTCCGCGCTGGGTGTCTGGGCTGGAGGCCCGAGCCAGGCGCGGAGCTGCTGCCTGGGCTCCCGCGCTGGACTCACTGGCTCCGAGTCCAGCCTTCTTTCCGGCCCGGGTTACCCGGCCCCGCCTCCAGCGCAGGCTCGCCTTCCGTGCTCCCCGCCCCACTGCACCTCCACCCCCGGGCGCAGCGACCCAGCCCCATCCCGGAGCGCCTCCGTAGTCGGCCACGAGCTTCCTCTTCGGTTTTTCCGACCCGTTGGAAGCGCCGGTGGGTTGGACACGCCAGGAGTCAAATGCCTTTGTCGAGCGGAAGGGGCAGTAGCGGGGCTCTCGGCAGGCAGGGTCTAGGCGTCAGCCGCGCCCAGGCCAGAGCCCGGGGAACTACAGTGGCGAGGGACAGTCCTGGCGCCTTGCCGCCCGGAGCGCGTGTCCCCGCCTCCCTACGCCAGGCATTGGGTGCATCCCTGCCAATTCCAACTGTGCTGGGCAAACCTCAGACTCAGGATGACCCTTAGTCCTGAAATCCAAGAGACAGGCGCCTCGCAGGACTTGGCGGGTTGACAGAGAAGGGAAAACTCCAAATACCCGGCTCGCCCATGCGAAGCCATATTTAAACAATCTGCCCTGGGTCGGGTGAGCTAAGGGGCACAGGCGGGACACAGTTGAGCCACCGACGTTTTGGGGAAACAGCTTGTAATCTCCTCCTCCTCGAGTGCATTTCCCAGACTAGATAGAGCCAGGCCAACAACTGGTGCACCCTGGGAAGGACAGTTCCCCCATACCCAAAGGCAAGAGGGGTGAAAAGGCTTGGGGGACCTGTAAAGGACTCCTGGTTTTCTGGCTCAGCCCTTAAGCACTCTTGACAGCTTTTCTCTAACCAGTAAGGCATGCCCTATGCACTTTCGGCAAGACATACTTAAACTCTGTCTCTGATTTTCCAGGACTAGGCTTCTCTGAGGCTTTCCTAGAACCTTTGTTTTCCATGGTGGGGGCTTACAGCCCTAATTAATAATTGCCAGCTGGCGTGTAGGTATACTGTTAACTCTTCTGGCTAACAGTCTTTTCCTGTGCCATAGGATTCCACTAAGTAGAGAAGGGCCATTTCAGATATCTGCAATTCTCCACTCAGAAACAGACTGGCTTTATAGGAGAGCAAGTGTGAAACAGAGGAAAAATTTGGCAGCATTCCTAGCTTGATTTATTTTGGTCTTGAGCACACATCCCTCTTCTTGATATCACAGATCTGCCGAGGAGATAGGCCCTTCTTCCACCTGTGGGGTGTTTCATCTATCTGCTGCCCTAACAGGGCTGGACAGAAGCTGTGCATGGTCAAGTACCATGTCAGCGGCTGCTGAGGATAAGGCCTGTCTGAGCAGGGCCAGTAAGAACTAACTGAGTGAAAGCATCCTGCTCTTTTAACTATGTGTAGGTACGTGTCTGCATGTGGGTGTGTACATATGAATACAGGTGCCCACAGACCAGAGGTGTCAGGTGCCCTGGAGCTAGAATTATACTTGGTTATTGGCTTCCCAATGTGGATTCTGGGAACTGAACCTAGATCCTCTGGAAGAACAACAAGCACGTACATCTAACCTCGGTACTATCTCTGTAGCCCTAATTTTTGTTTCTCTAAATGCTGGAGAAATGAGTGCTTTCTAAAACTTGCAGGATAAAGTTTCAAAGCAAAGTCTTTGTGATCTGAGTATTCCCTGACAAGACAGACAGTGCTAAGCTCTGAGTCATGCCAGCCCAAAGCAGTAACCAGCTGTTAATCTGCCTTCCCTGAACTACTTCTTGGCACAGGCATTGAGATTAAGAAAGTGTCTAAGTAAATTTCCAACAGGCTGGGATTACAAGTTGTGCACCACATTACCTGACTGAATCCTCTCTAAATTAGGAAAATAAAAACAACTGACAGAAACACTTAGCAAGCAAATTAAAAACATCATTAGAGACTACAAATTTGCTGAATGGCTATCTTTTAAGAGGATTGTCTTTATGATTGAACTCGAGCAAGCAAAGCAGAGCTTTGGCTATTCACTTAAAATCTAACCATGGTTCCATGTGCATAGAGAATCCCCTTTTCTGAGGAACAGGTAAGGAGAGGGAGAAGAGGGATGTGGGGACTGGGGGAAGAGAGGGAGGGTGGCTACTATCAGAATGTAAAGTGAATAAATAAAATTTAAAAATAATAAAAAGTTTAAAGAATGCTGAAAGATCAATAAAATCATTATTAAAATAGACAGTTAAGATCTCAGAACTGGCTGCTGATGTAGCTCAGTTGATAGAGTGATTTCCTAGCATGTAAGTACTGGGCTTAATCCCAGCGTCACACAAAGACCAGGCAGGATGGTACTTGCCTGCAATCCTGGTACTCCAGATGTGGATGCAGGAGGATCAGGAGTTCAAGGTCATCCTTAGCTAAGGGAGTTTGAAGCCAGCCTGGGCTAAATGAGATACGTCAGAAAAAAAAGAAAGAAAGAAAGAAAGAAAGAAAGAAAGAAAGAAAGAAAGAAAGAAAGAAAGAAAGGAAGGAAGGAAGGAAGGAAGGAAGGAAGGAAGGAGAAAGAAAGAAAGAAAGAAAGAAAGAAAGAAAGAAAGAAAGAAAGAAAGGAGAAATCAAGCATCTTAAACACAGTTAAGACTTGTTTAACTTGTCCTGGAATAACTTACTTGTAAACATTCCACCACTCTGGCAGTTGCATGGAGAAGGGTGCCCGTGGAATAGGGTGGAAGTAAGATGAGCTTTGACTCACTGCGTGGAACACAGCGGGAAGGAAGGGGAAGCAAGGAGTGCAGTTAGAGAGTGAAGCTGACTGGACAGAAGGTTGCTACGGCAACGAAGGAGCAGGTGCTGTCAGGAATGACCCAGTAGGACTAGATCCTCCTAGCTATAGGGGTCTTAGTGGCCACACCAGCCTGGGCACTAAAGAAGCCTGTCTTGGAAGAAAGTTGGACTTTGACTAGTTTCAATTTCTGTGCTTTGAGGCAGTTGGATGAATTTGTAATCCAAAGTAGTTACTTGGCTTTGAGGACTGTATGGGTCACTCAAATGCAGTTGGTAGCAGTGCAGTGGCAGGAAGGATGGCATTGTGCAGGGAATAGAAAAGGATGCCATAGGCAGAATTTTTAAAAACCTGTATCATTTGGCTTGGCGCATGGGAGTCAGGGAATGGACACTTGTTTGTCCCCACCACATTTGAGGGGGGAGGGGGGTCTCACTGGCATGGAGCTGGCTGGTCAGTGAGCCCCAGGAATACCAATATGGAGACCATGCTGACCAGAGGGGATGTTATTTTTCTGTTGTAAGTTCAAATTTGGAACACATTCTGAGTAATAAAATTTTTCCTCAAATACTGGGCCGATTTTCATAAAACTCACAATTTGCTTAATTCACGATGGAGAGTAATACAGAATTAATGGTATTATTTCAACTTTCATGACTCAAGAATGATTCTCAATAAATGTCTTTTTCTATAAAACAATTTTTCTGCCACTATTTTACCACAAATAAATAAATGTGTCTGATGTTGTCCAGAGACTATTCCCCCAATACACAGCCACATAGTTCTTCAATGATAATAATGTCACTCATCCCTGTACCCACATTCTCTTCTTTGTTCATCACACTCTTAAATATTATGGCTAAAGACTTTAAGATGTTAGCCTTTGCAGGTGCTCACACAGCTTTGTGTGGGTGACTCTGTGAAAAAAACTAGAGCACTCTTCAGTTTTGTGAAATCTCCATTCAGCAGCAGCATTGAGCCATTTTTCACAGATACATGTGATTTTTAACAACTGTCATGCAATTTCTTGCCATGAAAGTTCAGTCAAACCAGCTGGCTATCAGCATCCACTCTTCCCTCGGTCTTTTTCCTTCCATTGTTATGTTAAGCCATTAGCTTGTCACAGCCCCTTGTCTCCTTTGCGAGAAGCAATGCATTAATATCTAAAGGTTGGTTTCCAGCCACAAAAGTCACCGTCTTGAAGGACGGTAATGCCACACCAACGAACACACGACACAAGGCTGTCATGCAGAAAGAGCAGGCTTCCTGGAGCGCTCATATTTTCAGAGCACTCCAGCCTCATAGTAGAACAGGTTAGCTTTTGGAGGCCTGTTCTGACAGAGCACACTCCAGCAGAACTGGCCATGCAGGCAGCAAAGGAAATTCTCCGGGAAGGGCTGACCCTGAACTTTCTTGTCTTCATTCTTCCAAAGACAGTTTGCAAACACCAGAAAGAAAAGACATGCAAAAGTGGAGGCAACACAATCTAAATATGCAGGCACCAAGAAAACGTGTGTCAGGGACACGCTGAAGACTATAAGGCAG